CAGTGCGTTTCTCCTGGGCAGGGACATTATGGTCGTAAGTTACAAAACTGTACAGAGCTGATAATTGGGTGGTTAACGAACAAACACTGCCAGATAATTCATATCGTTCGCCAGCAGCGTCGGAATAGATTCGAACTTATCATCCAATTAGTGAACGTGTAATTGTACAAGCCGGCGTGACCGTAAATATCTGTGCACGCTACATTAATATACTATTAATTCTCGTTTATCGACGAATCGGGGCGTTGAAAACATCGTGGGCCAACGGGTGCATTGCTATTCGCGCGGCGATGCAATTTCAATTACTTCCCAATGACCAAATTCTCGGTTTTCGGGGCACGGTGTTAAAATGCAAAGCGAAACGGTAGTTTCAATTTGTTAACTGCGTTAAAATACAGAAACGAAATAATCGGTAAACGCATATACAAATCGAGAACGAAGCGTAAAAAGTAATTCCGCCATATTTATTTGTAGATTTTAAACTTATTAAGTGTGCTATATGGGGCACATAAATTAATTGTACGGCTATGATACTCGAATTTTTAATTTTCTTCTGGAAGGATAAAAAGAAATAGTGTCGATTAATATAATGGAGAATAAAAATTACGTGGTATTGGAAAAGCTGTGATTAGTGGTACTAAAGTGTCTTTACTAGAAATTTTTTAAATTCCTCAAATTTAATTTTTTTTAATTTCCTCGTTCAAAAGTCAGGTTTACAATTTATTTAAGTTTACAGTTTAAATTTCCATCTCGAGACCCATTTTAAGTTTCCACTTCTCGATATATAATTTATCATTTTTACGAGCCTGTTTGATTTTTGCATCCGCTCGCGATCCAGCGGCATACCTTTTCACCGACGCCCCGGTTCATCATTTTTCACGTTCGAATTTTCTTCTCGAGAAATTCTGCGATTCTTCTCGCCGCATTATCGCGCACGATGCTCACTTTCCATTCCCAGCGAGCACGCCTGGAACTGGGTCGGGCAGGGATTCGATCATAGCCTTCAACGAAATTCCATAAATTAGTAGGCTGGGTTTCCATAACTCCCCGATGTCCCTTTGCCCGGTTCCTTAATTAGACGCGCGTGTCAGTGTCGCCGAATTGAAAACGCCAAGGGAACGAAAACGGCGAATGGCAGAGTAATCGTTCGAGTAAAAACGGCCGGGACAATAACTGCGGTTGACGTTTCATCCGTCCCCACGGTTCGCCCTTAGGATTCAGAATTTTGAATTAAACGGCCGGGGGGATGGGGTGAAAGCTGCTCTGGGAGCGGAGAACCGTTCTCATTTACACCCATACGAGAGAGAACGGAGGTCTCGGTTGTAGGAACGAGCCACTCGACCGCCAGAATCGGAAATTAAGGCCAGCCCGGTACCAATAAAATCGAAAAGCCACCAGGACGCTTCTGTCTAACCCCACGCAACCCCCGTCGTTCCATCCATCCGCGTGGAAATTCATCTCTCGCGGCCACACAACTTTTTGATCGATAATTTTTCCTTCCGTCGCTCGCAGATCCACGGCCGTTCCCTTGCTTCGTCACTTTTTTAATTCCCGCTCCTACGGCCAACTTTCACACTTATTAGCTCCTTTGAACTGTTTCTTTCATTTTCTCGAATCGCCGTCCTTCCTCGCCGAACCATCGAAGCGTGACGAAGCCTGGCGCCCGTCCCTGATCCTGCATTACCGTGCTCGCGGACCCGTGAAAATAAAGTCCCGTCTTCCAACGCGAAACAGGACGCAAGAGATCGAGCCGACTCGAACGGAACGTCCAAGGTTCCCCGATCGAAATGATAATAGGTTCGCCTTGGGGACTCGTTGGCGAAACGCAAAATGTCCGTTTATGTCGGTATTTTTTTCGCTGGAAATCCAATAGGACGACGGATCCTTTATCGGTCATTTTGGTCTGACTGTAATTTTTAACAGCTTTTACGTACGTAAAACAAAAAGCACCGTGGATACATTTTGCATAAAATGGCACTGTTTGTCTTTTATGCAGTGATTCTATCGTAAACACCGCCCAAAATCCGTTCTGGACGTCGGATCGTTGTGTAGATCGTCTGACTATAATTTTTAACAACTTTTACGTGCGTAAAACAAAAAGCACCGTGGATACGTTTTGCATAAAATGGCACTGTTTGTCTTTCATGCGGTGATTCGATCGTAAACACCGCCCAAAATCCGTTCTGTGGCCTGTGGAAGAGCCCGGAGATCCCCGGTCTATCCGCATTAGACAGTTTCTGTCGCCCGGGGACAAGAATCTTGATTACTTTTTCAGGAATTTAGCCTGATTGAACTCCGGTACGAAGAAACGGAACCGTGGTGATCGTAAATCTAATTAAATCGATGAGGTGGCTTAACCCACGGCTACCCGGGTGCAACACTTGCGTTGCATACTCGCGCCACTTGCGTGTTTGTTCGAGTAGTGCTGACAAGCGTAGTCGTGAGAGGAGCTCGAAAATCCAGAAAATTTTGAAACACGAGTACGTACAAGTTAGTTCGTCCGTAACTGGCCATTTTTCATTGGTACGGTTTGAGAGGTTCTGCACGATCCTTGAAAAGAATACTAGCCTTTTTATTTTTCGCGGAATAACTGCGCGACGGCGAGAGATTTATTAAGAAAAACAATAACGCTGGCTTTAGTCGTGACAATATATTATTTCTGTTCAACGTTTCCAACAGTTTCGGGCCAACCACGAGACTACCAATTTAAATTACAATGGAAGAAACCGTAAATTACGGGAAATTGAAGAAGAAAGAAATGTGAAGTTAAATATACTTGTAATAAAAATGTAACGAACGCAGTAAAGTAATATCTTCCTCCGAGGCACATATTTCGTTTCTTCTTTTGAAAGTTTCTGTTAATAAGAAAGGTAGATATATTATACGCTATAAACTCAAAGAGAAATCCCTAAGAATCCTTGTAAGTCCATTGTTTATTTATTAAAATTAAACAAAATACACGGAACGTACGTCGAAACTGAAGATCATCGGATCACAGTTGCCTCAAAAATAAAAATTCAGGCAATCCTCGATCGCGATCTAAAGGAATTAGAATCGTTACAGTTTTAAATAGAAATTCCTACGATTGATCGGACACGGTGATTCGAAATACCGGATACGTGTCATTTTAATCTGACGCTGTTGGTGAATCGAACCTCCGTAAATCGTAAGCTTCAACCGTACGGTTGAAGGTAATGAAAATGATTGCATGCTTAAGTAATACAAATTTGATTCCCGAAATTAGCCCGTGGCGCGTATTTTACCGTCCCGATTAATCGATATCGTACGCGAAATTGTTCTAACAAATTGCGGGCGCGGCGCGAACCATTACGACTCACGACTAATGACGTAGTTAAGACTTTCTTGTCCCGGAATGGTCAGCTATCAGCGCCATAACTATGTCCAGAAACCCCGGACCAGTGTTTTATGAACATCCTGACCCGATGCTAATTCCCGCGTATTTCAAAATATTCAACACGTCAAAGCATTAGCACCCCGCCAGTCATGGTTCCAACTTGCGCTCAAACGCGACAAAATGCGCCCAGGGCTTTTGCCATGCAAATGTCCCTTTGAAAATCGCTGCAAATTGACACGCGTGTTAGCGCTCCACTGTATCGCGCTTTTCCACGCGCTACGCAGTTAATGAACACTCCCGAATACGCTATCGGACCAAATATCTTCCACTGGGAAACGAGACTTTCGTCAATCGTCGAAATACATGGTGTTTCGCAAATTCATAGCTTCAAATAAATACCTGATATATTATCTATCGGAGTTGAATATTCGTTATTAAACGTGCACAGAAAATGGACTCTCTGTTCGATTTTGCATCGAGAAAATATTAATGTTAATGAGGATACGATTCCAGGGGGGCAATTTTGCCATAAACGAAGCTTTGTGAGAAATGCAGAAGCTTGGAATATGTAACTTGGAACTTGTGAGAATATGGTGAAACCCAATAAATATTAGGTCGAGTCATAAGTAACTTCCGATGCAGCTAAAAGGGGAGGTCATGACCTGTCAACCTGGGATTTGAACCAAATTTGGCAGAGTTGTAGGGGCTGATGTCCAAATGTAATTTGTAAAATACTAGACGCTTATGGCCAGCCATTTTTGAAGAAAGTGACTTTAAAGTTTAAAATTTCGAAATTGTCGGATTGAATTCGTTTCTTTTTTTAATTTCATGTCTCGACGAGAGGAACACAAAAGTCCAATACATTTTTGCCGTACCATCAATAGTTTAGCTAAAAATTTGAGTTTTTTGTAACGGGATAGATGCATATGTATGTACCGTGTGGTTTGAAACTGTTTTCAACAGCCATGGAGTTAACGTCGAAGAATTCGGCTTTAAAGATTAGGGTTCGTATCCTCGAAGTTAGTGCATTTTGTTTTTTTTCTTCTTTTCGCTTATTTTTTAATTTTTATTTATTTTTAATTTTAATTTTTAGAATCTATTGTTAATATCTACCCGCTATGAGTTCCCATGAGAACAAGTTTTTGTTTTCACTATATACACAAGGCTTCAGTTAGTCTTTTGTCAACTGTTTTGTGTGATACATGTTACGTTAAACTGTTTTTTTTAACCTCTGAAATGGAGAGTGAAAAAGTACGTATTCGTCATGTAATGCTTTTGGAATTTCATTATGCAGTGTATATGGTGAAGGACTAATAACTGATCGGGCAGTTAGAAATTGGTTTATAAAATTCCGGTCTGGAGATACGACCTTAAAAGGCGAACCGAGGGCGGGACGTTCTTCCGATTTTGACGACAACCTTTTAAAGGCAATATTGGAGCAAAATCCACGTTAATTAACAAAAGGTATAGCAGAAAGGTTGAATACATCACGATCAACTGTTAACCGCCACCTGGAGAAATTAGCGAAAGTCAGCAAATTAGGAGTATGGGTACCTCACAATTTCAGTGAACGGAGTAAAGAAGATCGCATGTCAATCGCCACAAGTCTGCTCTCACGGGTAAAAATTGAGCCTTTTTTAAACAGGATTGCAACAGGCGATGAAAAATGGGTTACCTATGACAATATAGTCCAAAAAGACAAAAGACAGTGGCTTGATAAGGATCAACCACCCCTACCAGATCCGAAAGCAAACATCCATGGCAAAAAGATTTTATTGTGTGTATGGTGGGATTGTCAAGGAATAATTCACCACGAGTTGTTGAAGTCAAATTTAACGATTACTGCGGATAGATACGTGCAGCAGTTGCAAAGAGTGCAAGAAAAACTCAATGAAAAGCGTCCTGTACTCGTCAATCGTAAAGACGTCATTCTTTTACACGACAATGCGCGACCACATACAGCAAGGGTGACTCAAGAAAAAATTCTTGAGCTTGGATGGTCTGTTTTACGACATCCACCTTACTCCCCGGATCTTGCCCCGACAGACTACCACCATTTCTGTTCCTTACAAAACTTTTTGAATGGAAAAACCTCCAATTCTGAAGAGCAAGTCAGGCAGGCTGTCGAAAACTTCTTCCAGTCCAAACCAACCATATTTTACGAGGAAGGAATTGATAAACTGCCAGGAAGATGGGAGAAGGTTATAGATAATAGTGGCGAATACATAATAAATTAATATAATTTTGTTATTTAATGAGAGCAAAATAAATGTCTGATAAAAAAACGGAAGTTACTTATGACTCGACCTAATAAATAATAAATAGGGGTTTCTAGTTGATTTGAGCGCCGTGACGCCTCTCTCGCGATGGCTGGAAGACCGGAAGCAAACGTGTCGGTATTGCATGGCGGAAAAAGACGTCGAAAACGACCTGGGCGCATACGGGACCGTCGTAGATCAGCGACGCCGCGGAGACGAATTAGACGATCGCTCATCGAGTGAAAAACAGCCCACCGGGACCTATCCTTCGGTCGTTTTTCCCGCTGCGCGACTTCCGTTGCGCTCCGACGAAGAAAATGGAACCGCGGACGAAGATTCATAGCCCTTTGGACAACCCTTCTTGTAGCCCGCATGTTAACTCTTTGACAAACATTTGACGACAAAACAAAGGCGACAGTTTCTTCCACCGATATCCCCCTGATCGCTGTATAGCTGTGTAAAAGTCTCAGAGCGAACAAAAGTCGAGTCCACGGAACCGGACATCTGATGGTAAAGTTCCTCGATCGGCTAATTTCTTTTAACGCGAAAAGAAAGAAGTGAATCGCGGGAAAGTTTGATGAGGAGGCGGACGAAACGATCTCGAAATTGATTTTGACTCGCCAAAAAATTAAAAGACCGGTAATTCGAATCTGGCAAATTTACGCGATTACACGAAACTTCCATTTGACAATTAGTACGATTATTAGACTGCGGATGTTCATGCATTTATGGGACATTTTAATTGTCAAAAAACTACAGAATGCACTTGATATTCAAAAATATAAGGAATACTTAAAGTAGGATACGAATTATTATTTTTAGGGGTTGAAACAACCCTCTAGAAAGCTCCCATTTCATTAATTCTATTAATACAAATATGAGTTTGCATAAAGAAGCGCAGTCTAGTTATTATATTCACAACCTTATTGTATCTTCTTTTTATATAATTTTCTGTTACTCCACTAGCCTACGATGTTATAGCAGATAGAGTCAAGAGAAATATAATGACCTTGCACGCATGTTTCTTCCTCTAATCGTGGAGAAATTGCAATTTAAACTTTCGACATCGCTTCAGTCGTTACTCGCCGTTGGAGTCCAGTTTGTCGCGTTTAAAATGCTTACGGAAGTTAAGACTGGAAAGTAATTAACTTTGCTGTGTCTTGACGTTCGTTTATGAGTAACAAATGTTGAAATTAGTACTCCTCTTTGCAAAACAGACTCACCGTCACTCTATAATAATTTCACTAACTTTCTAAAGAAACAGTTTTAGATCAATGTTCAAATATTCAACTTCGAAATAGGTAAAATTGATGGAACGTTGCCCAGTTGAAAAATAAATTCCCCAAAAGATAGAATTGTCTATATAAAATTAGCAGTGTTTAATATTCTCGCAAAGAAACCTAGAAAATTATAATTCCAAGAATTCGAGAACATCTCGAAGATTCCACCGGAGGGTTGCAGCGCGAGAAATATAGAGCTCCGTAGAGCGGGGAACAATTTGGAAGGTTACGATATAAGCATTCGCAGCATGAATTTATCAGCATTCCCCTAAATAATCTCGCGGAAGCTCGAGTCGAGCGATTTGCAAAGAATTAGCTCGAACAAGGAGGAAAGGGAAACCTTAAACTGTACGACGTCGAAGGTCACGCAGACGAATTAATTTCGAGTTCGCGAGGGATTATTATAGGGAACGCTCAAGAATTTCATCCAGCCTTAATCTCCTCGGCCATGCTTGTTAATTCCGGTACACACGCGCGAGTCTTTGTCCGCCCGGAATAAAGAATCCGAGGCACGTCGAGCGCGATGCAGTTACGCCGAACTTCCCGCGAAAGTTGCCATGAATTTCTGCAACCTGTCACTCACTTGACGCTGAGAGTTAGAGAGAAAACGAAAAACCTCGAGGTGGATATCGAACCACGAACTTTCAACTTTTTGAGGCTGCGCATCGCTCGAACAGAATGCACATTCTTTATTAAGGAATACTTCGGTAACAATTAGTTAATTAAAATTTGAACGATCACCGACGCATGCTCCAGTTTTCGATTGTTGTATCGATTTTATAATGGGGTCGGAAAATCTATCTTCTCTGATTGGAAGACTAACGCGTCTGACCATTATCGGTCTTTTCTACTTGAGTTCACGATTGCGAGTGTGGACGATGCAGGGAGACGATCTTTCAATTAATTTTAATTCAGAGTTCCCTCAATTATTTCGTATTTATATTGTCGTGTACGTCGCGACAACATTGAAATGGTTGGCTCACAACGAAGTATGATATACTGGTTGGTTTAATAATTTATTCATTAGTGAAGCGCGCTGAATTATTCCACGGGGTGGACCTTTACAATATTCTGCTCGGATTTATACAATGTTGTATCTCGGATTTTTAGAAATAATCTCGTTCAGATTTTTACAATTATCTCAAATTTTATTTTTCCGTCGAAAAATTTTACACCTTCTCGAATTTTTTTCTCGAAAGTGAGTAGGATTTTGAGAGTATGTCTAATGACCAAAAATGATTGTAATTGATCCCCACAACTGAAAATAATTTTTTCAGAGCAATTTCAAATTTATTTTTTTCGTCGAAAAATTTAAGCAGCTACGCCCTGTCGATTTTCCTTAAAAAATCGTTTTTCATTTTTAATAAATTTGCTTGACGTCCGACGGAAATTTTGTTTAGCACTTTTTTGTAGGTATCCATGAGCACTACTTCGGTTTAAGGGGTTTTTTTTTCACTTTTCGGTATCAAGAAACAGCTTTTTCAATATTGTTAGAATTTCTACATATTCTCCGCGAAAATACGCGTTGTTTGCATTTTGGAAAATTAAAATCCTCCGATCCGTTCAGGAGTTATGATGTGTTGAACATATGCATGAAATTTCAGGGAAACATATCAATGTATGGTCAGACATTATATTTTCGGTAAAGAATTTTTTTCTCGAAAGTGGGTAGGATTTCGGGGGTATGTCTATTCACCAAAAATGCTTCTAATTGAACCCTGTATCTAAATATAATTTTTTAAGTGTGATTTGAAATTTTTTAATTTCGTCTAAAAATGTCAGTACCTACTCGAATTTTTTTTTCGAAAGTGAGTAGGATTTCGGGGATATGTCTATTCACCAAAAATGCTTGTAATTGAACCCTGTAACTAAGTATAATATTTTTAGTATGATTTGACATTTTTTAATTTCGTCTAAAAATTTCAGTACCTACTCGAATTTTTTTCTCGAAAGTGGTTAGGATTTCGGGGGTATGTCTATTTATCAAGAATTCTTGTAATTGACCCCTAAAACTAAAAATAATTCTTCGAAGACGATTCGAAATTCTTTTTTTTTATCCAAAACTTTCAGCACCTACTCGAATTTTTTTCTCGAAAGTGGGTAGGATTTCGGGGGTATGTGTATTCACCAAAAATGATTGTAATTGGCCCCTGTAACTAAATATAATTTTTTTAGTATGATTTGAAATTTTTTAATTTCGTCTAAAAATTTCAGTACCTACTCGAATTTTTTTCTCGAAAGTGGGTAGGATTTCGGGGGTATGTGTGTCCACCAAAAATGATTGTAATTAAGCCCCGCAACCAATAATAATTTTTCCAGAACAATTTGAAATTTTTTAATTTAATTTTTTAATAACTTTTTAACGAAGCCTCAGTCAAGAAATTGATATTGTTGATTTTCGTCTTATTTTGGCCTCTAGAATCCCCCATTAAAATTGTTCCCAGGGGTAACCAAATACCCTGTATATCTAATTTTAGTGGGTGAAAACGGAATCGGAAAGGAAAATTGGGGGTGGTTTTATCAGGCATCGGTTAGTTGGGAAAAATTTCGAAATCTCGAAATCGAAATTTCCAGTTAACTTGTTTGAATTTAGCTTGATGAATTATTAACTGCTTTTGGAAAGTTGATACGAACAGATTAGGACAGCTTTGTATAGTAATATTTTTCCCGGCCGAGCCAGGTTTCATAATTAGGTAGAAATTCCGTGGTGATGCAGGGCAGAAATTTCAGGTTAATGTAATTTTCGTATCAATTTTGTAGATTACCGAAATTTCAGCGATTCGGCTTGTTAAATATCATAATTTGCAAAGTGCTCACGGAAATGTAACGCAATTGTGGCAGGAATGCGTTAAACGAAGTTCCGGGCTAAACGTTCCACAGCACACTCGTGTGTAATTTACTCGCTCGATTGAGCACCATAAACGAATCTCGCGGGCAAACTGGCCATCGCCAGTGGAGCTCGAAAGTTTAGCATAACGTCGTAAATTACGAAGGAGGTTTAACGTTCTTCCATCGGCGATTTGCTTCCACATCATAGTACGAATAGTTAGGTCAGACGTATGTATAAGCTGGTCCCATTCAACAGGTGCTATCGCAACATGCGAAACTACGTGGAACATTGTATACGCGTACCGAGTAAATGATCGAAACAGATCGCCTTTATCGAAAGCCACACAATTATACGTTGATATCAAAGAGGAGTCAAATTAACAAGAGCCATTAACGGCTAACGGACAATAACAATAGCTTTTGGAAGCCCTCTGGCACGATTCCCCGATCTACTGCTTGTAAACACTTCATTTTAACAGAAACTTTGTACTAGAAATCACTAACAGACAGTTTTTATATTATTGTCGTAAATATTAATGAGTAGTATTCAAGTATCAATTTTTATCCAAACTTATTTTACTGGGCTTGTAATGTTTAGAGTGTATTATTGCTTTTCATCTGATCAATTAAACGATCTATTTTTTTTTGAAAAAAAAAACAAAATCTTCAATTTCCACTGTCTCAGAACAGTCTAACAACGCGTATTAAAAATAGTTTAACTTTACATATATGGAGTTCCGAAACTATTAGGGTTTTCTCCATGATAGAGCCACTGTTAGGAGTAGCAAGGCCTCCAATTTAAAATTATTTTTATTTTATGTCGATCCGACTTTAACTTTTCTCTGTCTCCGTTTTACTTCGTAGTGAAAGTTCATTGACCTCGCGACGTAAACAATGAGAAGTAAACAAACACTTCGAACCCTTATATCTCCGAAACTAATAACGCTATCGACTCGAATGAACACTCATTTTACAGGGCGTTTCATCCTCTATTCGATATATGTACTAACTGCCACAATTTAGGCTGTCTTCTATGTTTACTTTGACGCTATATACCCGGAGATGTTTCAACAATTCCTAACGATTACACGACCAGTGCGCGACAAAACTATATCATAAATTTTAATCAAAAATGAATTATTGATCAGAGGCCACTGGAATGCACGCGAAAGAGTGTACTTCTTGCTAATACGAATATAGAAAATTATAGCGCATAATTACGGGTTAAACGCCGTGTCTCTGCAGCTAACCGGGCGATTTCTTCGGAGCGTTTTCCGCGGCGTTTAATCGCTTCCCTGTTTCTTGAACTTCCCCCCGGCGAGATAAAAATCCGCAACCAAACACAAAGTTCGAAATAAGTTTGTAACGCGATAAAGAGGGGCAATGAAGGTAGTTAAGAAGTCGTTTATGCCGCGTTGCACCGCGAAACGAATAAGAGGATTTTCCAGTTTATCCGTTTGTTCCCCCGCCGTCGATATGAACTCGTTCCCGCGAAACAGCTACGACATTACCATAAACTGATTAATCGATCTGAAATAACCGACGCAATAACGAAACAATTTGCACCGGCCGTAAATCAAGCTGATTACCATATTAATCCGTGGCGGGTATCGAGACCGCTGCTATCCACGGCGCGAAACACGGCCTGCGGGCCACACTAACGGATAAAACGGTTCTTATTATCCTACCGGCGTGCACTATGAATTCTTGATGTCCTTAATTGAATTATTTTCGGTTCGAATCCTTCGCGAACTAACGACCGGAACCGTTTCACGCGAATTTCGTCGGGGCACGGCATTTAATTAACCGTATTACGCTCACGTGGCTGATACGTATTTTTCACGGATTATCCGTTCGGATCTTCAGCCCTATTTTTAGTTTACGAACCTGGCCGGACAGTGTACTTTCCGCGCGATTGCAATCGTGTTGGAAACACAGACTAACACGCGGTCAACACGCGTCGTTAAGGGGTTACACCCGGCTCGGAGACCTAAAATATTCATCGTTCTTTGCAAATTTATTGCGTCGAGCCATTTGTCTGGAATGTTCATGCCCGTAATGCATGAATATGCATTGACCATGGGCCGCACAAACATTTCCATTTTTGACCAGGAACTTTAGTTTTTGCACAAAATTCTGTTGCACTTTTTTCGCGGACCATCCCCGTCCCCCGTAAATTTCAAGAGAATTTTATTTACGAGTATGTCTTTCCTCGGTTGTTTTATTTGGTGAAGTATTTATGTTTGCTTTGAAACTGGTTTGTAAAACAATTGATTGACCAGTTATTTTTAACTGATTTACTCAAATTCGATCTTAGAAGATATCTTATTTGTATTTCGAGAAGTGGAAATATACGTTAAGGGTCCATTTCTTGCCATTTTTTTTTTTGCGGGCTATTAAAGAGCGATTAATTCCGGGTTTTGTAGATGCGTTTATTATATATTTAGCTATATTTACGAATTTTTGCAACGCATAATGTCTATTGATTACGCTGTTTTTGTCGATCAACGAACAACAATTTTTACGAACGGCGCCCGACTGCGTATGTGATATCTTGCGAACAAGTTATACGAAATCCAAAAACCAACGATATTCTTAACATAGATGAGTGTGGTTATAGCATGAACTAGGATCTTTTCAAAAAAACAAAAAATGGCAAAATGGTAGCTATTTTACGAAAAAATACTGAATATTTTCATATATTCGGTTGCTTTTCTGTTAATAAAAGAAAAAGTATTGCATATATCGCAATTATCCTAGTTCATGCTATAGGGAGACCAGTTCTAAAGATACTGCATAAATTTCATGTTGATATTTTGAATAGTTTTTTGGTTATCACATACTCAGTGCTGAAAAATGTAGTTTCGAGAAAGACAGCTTTAAGACTAGATTTACGGAAGCCGTCAATTTGACGGATATCAGATTCCATATTTAAAATTGCAGAACGCGTAAATATTATTTTTCAACAACTTATGTTGAATTTGTTTGATGCAAAAGAAAAATCGTATTTTAAGGTAATCGTCAACATGAAAGGTATCAATAAATATAAAATCCAGTGTTAAAGTTTCACGTCCAGTTGTTATACCTGCGGGCGGTACATTTCAGCAGGCTATAACTTCGTTAATTTTTCAAATTTCAATTTAATATTTGCTAGATATATTTTCGAGATTACATACTAAAAAAAAACACAAAACAAAAGATTCGATTTTTTAAATCCCACAAAGTAGAAAGGCCCCCTAACACGTTGACTGCCACTTTAGAACGATAAGATTGTTTACGAGACCAAAACTTTGATTTTAGACAATTACAAGCTACATAACTTAAAACTTATCGTAGTACTTATTTTTATAACTTCAGTAAAATTTATGAAGCCTATTAAAATTTATTTTCTTTGACATGTCAACTTGAAAATTAATTGTTTTAGTTCCACTGTTAAAAGTTCTGTCACCCATATATGGGTGACGTGGCAGTCAAAGTGTTAAGTGGTTGTTTCCTCGCGCAACATTCGTGAAATTTTCTTGGAGGAAGAGCCTCCCGAGGCAGTTACACTTCGAGGACTGCTCTTTTGTCGTAGATCCATTATTATGGAAATTTTTTTAACGATATGTAAATCGTCGGTATCCCGGATCGCGTAATATTCTTAACATTTTTCAAGCTTCGCGGCACGTAACGGCCCCTTTTTTGTATTCCGTAATTTATTCATACTTCGCGTTTTAATCACTGGCGTGCGTTCGATAGGGCGGCTACGAAACGAAAGACGTCCGACAAATAACGTACCGTGAAAGAAATCGACGTTGCTTCAACGCCGCGGAACGAAAGGGGATGCAAATACGAAGGTTCTTTAAAAAGTTCGCAGCCTCACTGACGGTGATACTAAGCTCCGCTTACGTATCTTAAAACGTCGTTTTGTCTTACAGGTAACAAGTTTGGTGATTAATTTTGCAAAAGTTAGTTCGCAAGCAAAATAATCTTAGGCCCAGGGTGATATTTTCAAGAAACACTTGTGTCGTAACAAACTCTGATTTTTAAACATTTTAAGAGAAAGTTTTGTTAACGAAGCTGGAGGAGATTATGTTGCCAAAGAGAATCGATTTAAAAATAGAAATAAAAATCGTAGCGTGTCGGTGTCGGATGAGAAAAGTTTGGAACAAGTATCACCGATTCATGGAATCTAAATGAGCACGCGAAATAAAAAGAAAACAGAAGTCACGTTCACGAACTTTTGAGAGGCATAAACGAAGCGTAAGATAGTAATTCGGTCTGTACAAAATCGCAGGAAGAAAGTCATCTGGAATTCTGTCACGGTGCGCCGAAACCGCGGCCCTCGTCTTCATTTCCGGCCACTTCTCAAAGATACACAGAACCGGGAATTGGGTTTCCCGGTTTGTCCCGGTTCTGGACAAAATTGGAACCCGAAACTGGTCTTCCGTCGCTTCTTTAAACCCCACATGACGCGACTAAACTCTATCTCTCTTTGATGCGGCGTGTTGACCAGCCGAAACATATTTACGGTGCCCCCGTCTCTAAATAAATACGTGTCCGCCGACGAATATGACTCGAATTTCCGCAACGGACGGATCATAACGATAATAATGAAAACGAATAATATATTCGCCGGGCGAAATTACATACAATTAAACCGATAAGTGGAGAAACGAGGCAAGGAAGTATCTGTATCCTGTTTATAACTATACCACGCACGCGACCGTGCTAACCTGATATTAATTTATAAAAAGAATATCAGTTATACGGTCAGTCAACCTAATCAAACATAAACTGATGATAGAAAGTATATAATCCCTACGATTTATTGCATTTAACTGATCGTAATTGTAGCTGGATCTTGAACTTTCTAAACTTACTATCACTGGACACTCGCAGCACTGTTGCAGACATAACATTTCTTTACAATTTAATCAGAGAAGATACAAGTCGCTAAATTTAGAAAAGATTCATTAACCATATTATTAATCAAACATAAACTCATGATAGAAAGTATATAATCCCTACGTTTTATTGCGTTTAACTGATCGTAATTATAGCTGGACCTTGAACCTTCTAAACTTACTATCACTGGACACTCGCAGCACTGTTGCAAACATAACTTTTCTTTACAATTTAATCAGAAAAGATACAAGTCGCTAAATTTAGAAAAGATTCGTTAACCATATTATTAATCGAACATAAACTGATGATAGAAAGTATATAATCCCTACGATTTATTGCATTTAACTGATCGTAATTATAGCTGGATCTTGAACTTTCTAAACTTACTATCACTGGACATTCACAGCACTGTTGCAGACATAACTTTTCTTTACAATTTAATCAGAGAAGATGCAAGTCGCTATATTTATTAAAGATTCGTTAACCATATTATTAAACCATACTATTTGCAATTCATATTGATTAATTTTGTTATGCTGTGTTATATGTATACTCTAATGAAAATGACGATAAATTAATTAATATTATTATAATACCACGCAAAAATCTACGTGATTGGTTGTTCTTTGTTAATTGCATGCCGAGAGTATCGATAATAATTTCTCGTGCCTCGTCGAAACGGAATATTGAAATTGAATATCGAATCAACGTACTTTCCGTTTGTTTTTCAGGTTCAATAAGCAATATAGACGACGCCGAGTATCACTGCAATGAAACTGCAGTGCGAAAAGTTATCAGCGGAGTCGTCGGGGCAGCAAGCTCGGTCACATCTATCCAAGTGGCCAACCTTCTCAGACTTTTCCGAATACCGCAGGTACGTGCAACGAATCGTCGAGACGCTGAAATTCGGTCGCGAGTTTATATTTATTCCGCGAGAACGCCATGGGGAAACCAAAACGGAATCGTGGGGCCGACGATCGCGCGAATGACCATTTCGAAGATCGTCCTGCAAATAGATCGCTGCTCGAGAAATGAATATTTACGATCGACGGATTGGCAAAGAAATCTGCCAACGATCGCGATATAAAAGTGATCCTCGACGTACGAGCTCGATAAAGAAACTAATAAACGAGGCAAAGGCGATGGTTTCCGCCTCGTCTTTTTACGCGATCATGTTTCCTCCCTCAACATGGGCCACGATTTAATCAAAAGTTTTGCATCGAGTGTTTGAACTACGTTCGGGCCAAGGAGCGTCCAAGCCCGAGGAACGCTCATGAAAGTACGAAAAATATTAAAACGGCGACGAACAGTGAACATTTTTCGTTCCAGGGAAAACTTCAGAGAAACCGCGGCCTAAAATCGCTCGACTGCGAAATCGCATCGCTTAACCACGCAATTCTTATGCCTCGCCACGATTCAATATATCGAACCGACACGATGGAATTTTTAATTCCGCGCGGAAACCAGACCTCGCCCCGACCCGCAAACTCGACGCCCCATGAAACAATTACACGGCAGGTGTTTCCCACCTAGCAGCGATCGATGATGTTGCTGTCAAACGCGCTGGGAACTCCCCTAACGCAAAATTCGTCGGTTGTCCGTCTCCGAATTCGAACGTGACCCAAACGAAAGAAGATTGAACCCACGCGTAATCTTGGCAGGGTGCTAATTTACAGCTGGGAAGTATAAATCGTCGAATCTGCGGTCGATGGCGCGTGTGATGAAAAAATTATCCTAATTTACGAACGATAGTTCACGCTACGATTGCGTTGAACCGTGCAACTGAGCAATTGGATCGAGGGAAGGGCTATTTTGACTATGTTGACTTAGATATACTTTCAATCGTATTCGTATACTATTATGGTGACTCACTATAAGTGAAAAGAAACTTGTCTCTTGCAAATTTTTAATAGATATTATAAATAATATCACATTACACTTCTATGAATTCTTTTCATTTATTTTTACTAAATGTTGCGCTAAAAACCCCAGCCACTGTGATTTGAAGGATCAACTGTGACTTCATTGCACTGTCAATTGTAAATATTAATCAGACATCTGTAGAAAAAATATTGAACTCAGATTTCATAATTGGCGATTGGTTTTTGAACGTATTTGTTTGAAACTTGCGATTTGAGTAACCCTTATTTTCCAGGAACTTTTAACAATCATAATTCAGTGGCTTAACTAGAAATTTGTGCGACGTAGCGTCGCGATCGAACCTTTGCTCCCACGGATATCGGCAAATTATGTTATTCATGGTATCCAATAAAAACTGGCTATTTGCAACCCATTTCTTGCGAACAATAGCCGCCATGCTCAAAGAGTGACGTGACATTATGACCGTAATAACATCGGATAAAAAACATACAAAACCCAAGAGGCGATACCGATAAAGGAACAGATTGAACAGATTTCAAACATGTCACCTTTTACGGAACATAATATGCCGTGCTCGCAGCCCCGAGAGTATAAAACTATAATGAATTATCGTCCCCAATGTCTCTTTGATCTTTTAATCCCGCTTATTATTTATTTCCTGTCGATCCTGGACTGCTCGCGAAACGCAAACAGGGTTTATTTTCACTGGTTAACAATGTTATTTTGTATCTGGGTTTCTTGTATGTACAGACTGTTTAAATAAGAAACAATTTAACAACTATACTGTGTGTAAAATAATACATTTATACAGGGTGGTCGACTACCCCTGGGAAAAATTTTAATTGGGTATTCTAGAGGCCAAAATAAGACAAAAATCAAGAATACCAATTTATTGATGGAAGCTTCGTTAAAAAGTTATTAACAATTAAATTCAAATATTTCAAATCGTTCTGAGAAAATTATTTTCGATTGGGGGGGTCAATTACAATCATTTTTGGTGAATAGATATACCCTCGAAATCCTACCCACTTTCTAGAAAAAAATTCGAGAAGGTGTGAAATTCTTCGACGGAAAAAAAAGTTTCAAATTGTTTTGGAAAAATTATATTTAGTTACAGGGGCCAATTACAATCATTTTTGGTGAACAGACATACCCCCCGAATCCTACCCACTTTCGAGAAAAAAATTCAAGTAGGTACTGAAATTTTTATAGGAAATTAAAAAATTTCAAATCATACTAAAAAAATTATATTTAGTTACAAGGGTCAATTACAAGCATTTTTGGTGAATAGACATACCCTCGATATTCTACGCACTTTCGAGAAAAAAATTCCTTACCGAAAATATAATGTCTGACCATACCATTGATATGTTTCCCTGAAATTTCCTTGACGCCGAAAAGTGAAAAAAAAAACGTAAAACTGGTTCAATTTTCAAACGGCCATAACTCCTACAATAGTGAACGGATTTCAATGAAATTTAATATGGAACTATAGGCCATGGATACCTACAAAAAAGTACTAAATAAAATTTCCGTAGGACGTCAAACAAATTTATTAAAAATGAAAAACGATTTTTTAAGAAAAATCGACAGAGCCTAAATTTTTCGACGAAAAAAAAAATTTTTAATCGTTCTGGAAAAATTATTTTGAGTTGTGGGGGTCAATTATAATAATTTTTGGTCATTAGACATACCCTCGAAATCCTACCCACTTTCGAGAAAAAAATTCGAGAATATGTGAAATTTTTCGACAATATTAAAAAATTTCAAATTGTTCTGGAAAAATTATTTTTGGTTGCAGAGGTCAATTACAATAATTTTTGGTGAATAGACCTTCCCCCGAAATCCTACCCACTTTCTAGAAAAAAATTCAGCACGGGCGGAACTTTAAACGTTGATAATTTTTTAACGAAGCCTCCATCAACAAATTGGTATTCTTGATTTTCGTCTTATTTTGGCCTCTAGAATCTCCCATTAAAATTTTTCCCAGGGTTGGCTGAACACCCTGTATATGTTTCACTCTCTCCCTACTTTATATAAATCGACCTAGTATAATCATTATAATTGTAAGAATTGTTGCAATTTAATTGACGAAAAGATATCTCTATACATTTCGTGTAATTTGCCTAATACGTTCAGGAACTAAATACAAAATTTCTTGCAATATATAAACTAGTAAATAATTAAGTACTATTATAACCGCAAAACTAAAATAACTCTACAATCATGGGCGTTAAATTTAAATAAAAATTATCGTTTCCAAAAGAACAAATTAACATGTCTACAACAATCATCTCGAAGCAAAGATCGTCGCGAATTAAACGAAAGCCGTACCGTAACAACGAACGAAAAGCAATACTTCGCAACGAAACAGCAGAATGGACGCCGGCCCGAATAGTTTCCCATAGCGTTTCTCCGGAAGGGAACTTCCGAATCTCATCCATTAATATTTATCGACAACCCGTAACAATACGACGATGCACATACGCGCAAGTACGCGAACGTTGGCGTATCAACGACGCGACCCTTTTGTTCCGCGACTTTTGTTCGTTTTCTGCCAGCTACAAAAAGGATTACGCGTACATATACGTGTATATAAAAAGAAAAACTGCGTGGCCGCAAGCCGAATCTACGAACCGGCGTTCTTTCATCGAAAACAATGCAGAAATTTACGGCGTAGGAAATGCCTAAATATATTCCGCGTACCGGGATCGGGAAAAAGAGTGGCGGGTCAGCTTATCCCGACGTGAGTTCCTTTTCCGTTCGAAGGATAAGCGAACTGGGGCGAATATTTATTCGCGTTAGTTCCTGCGGAATCAAAGAATAGACCAACGGGCGAAATGAAAATTTGCGACGGGGTTAGACTCGTCTTGGGCGTGTTCCGCGCTTTTCTTTGTTCTTTCGTTCGCGGTTCCCTTGTCAGTATGCTTTTGAGGTTACTTCCGCCCGTGGATTCCCCGCTGTGAAACTGTTTGACGTAGAATTCCCGCGTATCGTGCGGCCTATTCTACGATTCGCAACCGTTGCCACCGTACACCATTTTCATTTCCCTTCGTAATCAGCGCATCCTCGAAAGCGCGCCGTTAAAAACCGTGTTTGGGTTCGAAGAAACGAAGTCACTGGGAAGCATTTTCAAAGAAATTTGTTGCAGCCCTTGTCGGGGAATAACGCGTTATTGATAGCGGGGAAGAAAATTAATAAGAAACGTTGAAAAATCGCGTTCACGATTCTAGGTCAAGTGGAAACAGATCCAAACGAATGGTTCGAACGTGGTGGACCTACGCAATGGCCGAGAATGTCACTGGGCTTAACAGATTACTGACCGATTTCAGAAATCTTCCATTTTGTATTTTTAGACGGGATTGATCGAGTGAAGCTAAGTGCCTTTTCGAACCTGGGGAAAACATAATTTTTGGTAGTTAAAAATAAGCAAATATCGGGCAAAGTTTATTCTAGGAAATATTACAGAATGAAACTTTATGACAAACATAGTGTGTGTGAACAAACTCGTGAGATTTCAGTTTATAAACAGAAACACGGAAATACTATCCGAGTCAAATACAAAATTTATCGATTTAAAGGGGATGAATTTTGAAACTGAAATACCATATTATGGAATATAAAATCACTTAAAAAGTTATTGGAATTTTCATCTGGCTTTGAAAATGGTCGCATGAATGGATCTAAAAATTGACCACAGCCGAGAAGATCTTAGGAAAAATCCCTTGACAACGTTAAAAGGGTAAGATTTGATAAGGAACGAAAGGGACTGTTTCAAAGGAGATTTTCGAAGAAAAGGAAGATGTTCTATGTGTATAGCTCTGATCTAGCTGATCATTCGTAGATATCAGAAATCCTTTCCCAAATACACGAAACCCTTCGAGCAAGTTTTTAAATACACTTTGTTCAAATTGAAACTTTTTAATATAACTTTATAATATTTTATAAGCAGTAGGTATTGGAAAATTACTTGCAATTAGTGTATCGTTAAAG